AAGAGGCCAAACAACTCACTTATAATCTCTATACAAACGGTTTGCTTAAAGTCCTTCAGTGCCCCAAGACGTCAGACTACGCGCCCTCCAGGACTTACTTCTTGTTTTCGGTGGACACCACTCACGTATGCCAACAGACACTTCAGCGGTGCTATCAGTCGGTGTCCAACGCTATCAATCGCCGACTCTTCGAAGTGCAACAAAACAAAGCACTTCTGGAGCGCAAGAACTTCATCGACGCTATTATATCGAGTTTAGAACACCAGCAGACCCTACAAGATGTCGACCAACAGATCCAGGACTTGAAGAACTCGTTCACAACGCATGATAACGAACTGCTGGACAAAGTGAACAAAAACGTGAAAAAGTTAGAGCAAAGCGAACTCCAAATCGATGACACGGTATTCCTGTTGCAGACGTGGCTTCAAATGCATCAAATGAACAGCAAAGACGCCAAAGAGAAAGCGACCGCAAGAAAGACTAAAACAATAAAATAAATGAAATCTTTTTACTCATAATAAACTATTTTATTGTTGTTTGAGTTGCGGTTGCCTTTTATAGTCTTCCAATTCCTTTAATTGTAAATAATTTTGTCATTAGTTTCGTGACGAAAGAGTTTATTTTATTAAATGAAATATTCTTACGCTATCTCTTTGTGCTCTAATTAAGTCGATATCCCTTTCCTTGAAATTGATATCCTTTGCCGGATCGTCGGGTATGACCACTTGAGTGACCATTTGTGGGAAAATTGCAATGTAGGTGCGTTTGATGGCATCTATAGACTCGGCGCCAATCTTTTTGAATGAGTCGCTTCCGAACGGTATTGCAATTGGTTTTCTGTAATCACTTTGAAATCCCAACGAATCAATCGGTGTCTTAAAGGCTAAAGCGTTGAGAACTGTTCGGCTTTTCACCATAAGTGCCTCGGATTTGGTCGAAACAAATATCAATTGGGCGCCCATTGTATGGGATATTAGCCGCAGATATCTTACAATTAGTTTTTGTTTTTCTGGATCTAAATTCTAGTTTATAACAAAAAAGTTAATTTTGAGTTTTTTATATATCGTAAAAGCAAATTACTTGAAAGATGTCATATTTAGTTCCCATAATCACTATTGGGATCAAAAATGGGATGATTTGCTGAATGTCTTCGTTTTGTTTTCCAATTCTGTTCATTGATTTCTCTTTTAGTCTATCATTCAAATTCTTGTCATAACTGTCGGACAAAATCTTAGAAATGTGGTCTCGAATTGAATTAAGAAGTGTTTCAATAGTAATGATCAATTCTTCAGGCGCTGACAAATCAATGACTATAACCAATGATGTCCTCCTTTCATGTGTACGTATTGTTAAATGTTTTACTTAATTAAACATAAAATATTCCGGTTCTTACTCTAGACTTTGGATACTTATTGCGAATTCAATCAAATTAGTGAACATTACTCCTCCGCCCAATTCCCATACATTACAAACTTGTTTACTCTTAAATCAAAATAAAGAATTAATTTTAAATTCTTACAAATAATTAGCCGGAGTTTTACGGAATCGTTTTCCTTATGTTTTCGCCCGTATGTGTACTCCAAGGCTACTGTAGGTTTCGGGGCATCAGTTTTGTCTATAAACCTATAAATTAAACTTGTTTTGCCCTAAATGATTGAAAAATTAGTTTTAATATTTAGAAATAGGTAATCATTTGATTTACTCCTTGTTTGCTTCCGACCACAACTAGTGTTGAATCCTTGTTATAATTTGTTTGTGATTCTGCGAGTTCAATCGCTATTTCCCACACATTCTTCCTATGAATTCATGAAAATACAATTATATTAAGCAATTAGTAAAATACCAAAATTAATACTTACTTATGTTCAGTCATTATTATTCGCTTAAATCAATCAAACCTTTACATACTCTGTATTTACAGAATAAAACAAAAAATTCTTCAAACGTTAGCAACAAAACGGTTGTCAACCGATAGAAAACAAAACAAAAGTTCTTACGACAGATTCATTGGTAATAAAATCACTTGAAAATGATTTTGTAAATGTTTGAACTCATTTATAAATTAAATTAGCAAAATGTCTTATCGGGAATTAAGAAGTATGTAATAAATTATTGTATTATTTTATAAAATTTGTATTAATTTTCAGACTTTACTGAAATGTTGAGAGCATTGGGTTATCCAAGACTTGTGTCGATGGAAAACTTCCGAAACCCTAACTTTCCATTAGTGGCTGAAATTTTACAGTGGCTTATGATTAGGTAATTATGATTTTTGTCGGCTTTAACATTAATCACCACTTAATAATATCTTAATTTAT